CAGAAGCAGCCACTGACCTCACAGTTCTTGTAGTCATCAGTATTACCATAGCTCATTACCAAGTGCAACCACCACTTGGTCCTCCAGACCGTTTGTTTGTTTCAGTAGGCACAATCAACTACAGGTGACACGTCACGTAATCATGATGCATTATATGACCACAGATAACCAGATAACAATTTTCTGTAGGCAAAGAGCTCAGGTGATTGCAGAGTTAGGGATAGAACCAAACAATCCCAAATCCCATCTTCGAGGATCTGTTTCCTGGAACCACTCTGGCCGCAGGTACCCATTAGAATGAAGTCAGGAAAACAGAAACCACACCTGTCATTTCAGCAGAGAGAAATTTTTTAAAGATTTATTTATTCTGGAGAGAGAGAGAAAGAGAATGTGTGCAAGAGGGGTGGGGGCATGGAAGAAGAGGGAAAATCTCAAGCAGATTCCTCACTGAGTGTGGAGCCTGACACAGAGCTCGATCTCACTACTCCAAGATCATGTCCCGAGATGAAATTAAGGGTGGGAGGCTTGGGAAGTGCCTGGATGGCTCAGTCACTTAACTGGCTGCCTTCTGCTCTGGTCATTGTCTGGTGGTCCTGGGATGGAGCCCAGCCTCAGGCTCTGCACTCAGCAGGAAGTCTGCTCCTCCCTTTCCTTTTGCCCCTCTCTTCCATTTGTGCTCGCTAGCTCTTTCTCTCACTTTCTCTTACGCACTCTCAAATACATAAATAAAATCTTAATTTAAAAAAATCAGATGCTTAACCAACTGAGCCATCCTGGAACCCCCAGGAGAGAATTTAATATAAAAAATGTGTTGCGATGGAGCTTGAAGGACTAAAAAGGCAAACGTTGAGACCCATGTATTAACCTGCCAGAGGAACAAAGAGAAGAGGTTGGTGTTTTCAGAAATTAGAGGCTTGGAAGAGGGGCCACATAGAACTAAGGCTTAGACTCCTGAGAAAGAAGTGCTGTCTTGCTCATACTAGTACTTCAGGGGATTACCTGGAAGCTCGTTTTGGAAGTACCAAAGAAGCTGAAGACTGGAGCCATCTGCCATTAGCAGAGGAAAGGAGTGTTGTTGAAATCACAAAGGCAGGAATCACAAAGGACCGAAGGGGGTGGGGGCGGTTTTCTCCTGCCTAACACCTTCCCTCTAGCACCCTCTGCTGGCAGAAGTGGGCACAGCGTTACCTGGTAAAGGGAATACAGTTTCCCTGTTGTAGACCTACACTAGAAAGTGGAGTTGAGGAGGATGGATTTGGACCAAAATTAATAGAATTATGTGTGCCTTAACATATAAATGCAGAGACTCAATTACAATAGAGGAGGGTAAAAGATGTTTATATCTACACGTGGAACCAGCATAAAGATGATAACTATAAATTTGTTCAGGTGTGTTATATGAGTGATCTAAATAGCCAATGGTATTACCAAGAACAATGTGATTCTCCAAAGTGGTGAGCAGTTGTTGGTAATGTTCCAAGCAAAATAATGTGCCACTTCCACTCGATTTACAGAGCAGTGCTTTCCTGGACATTGTGTTACATATTAAATTCTCAACTAATAGTAAATAGGCTTTTCACCTGCATATCCAGCCAGAAATTCAAGAATCCTATAGAATAAGAGAAAAATCTTCCTTTTATGGGAACATCCCATATATTGCAGGATGTCTAGTACTGTTCCCTGCCACAGTCCTCCATAAAAATTCTAGGTGACGGTTGTCTTAGTTAGACCAAGTGCCAGAGGATCTTACCACAGGGCAAAGGCATAGGGATTTGGGATTTTATTTTGAGTGAAACTGGAAACTATTTGACGGTTTTGAACAGAAATGTTCCATTTACACTTTTAGATATCACTCTGACTGCGGCTATGTGGAAAATCAACTATGGGGAAAGCAAGAATAGAAGCAGGGAGTCCAGATGCGTGGCTCATGTTATTCCAGTAGGAGGCAATGGTGACTTGTTGGTGGAAGAAATGTTGAGAATAGTTGGACTCTGGATACATTTCACAGGTAAAGCAGACAAGATTTGCTGAAAAACTGGATATGAATGGGGGAAGAGCGAGATCAAGGAGGACACCAAGCTTTTGACCTGAATGACTGCAATGACGGTGTCATTTTTAAATTCAGAAAATACTCAGGGAGAAGTGAACTTTCGGGGGGAGGGCAATCAAGGGTTCTGCTTTCAGTCTATAAGATGTCGAGGAGACATCCAAGTGGAGATGCTGAACAGGCAATTAGATACCAGCGTAGAGTGCAATGGGGAGGTCAAGGCTTACATGAAGATTTAAGTGCATAAATCTGGGTACAACCACCCAGGGGATGGATGTAGATAAGGTAGAGAAGAGGTTGAAGAAATAAGCCCAGAGCTCATCAAGATACAGAGCCTGGGATGAGGCAGAGGTTCCGGCAAAGGACAGTAACATCAATCATCCTGGCCTGTGTCTTACAACAGAGAGCAAACTGATGATTACCAGAGGAGAGGTGTGTGTTGGGGGTGGGTGAAATAGTGATGGAGATTAAAGAGTGGACGTATCATGATGAAAAAAATAAATAAAAGCAGCTTTTGGAGGTCAAAGTGATTCTCATGCTAGCCTTGAAGAAGCAAATAGCCATTTGCAAGACGGTCATATGGCAAAGAACTTTGGGGGCCTCTAGGAGCTAAGAGCAGCCCCTGACTGATAACCAACAAGAAAGCAACGCTAGGCCCATGCCTGGACTGCAGTCTGTAAAACCCTGAGTAGAGGACCGATCTAAATTATCCCAACTTCTGGCCCACAGAAACTATGTAATGATAAAATCATTTTGTTTAAAAAAAAAAAAAAAAGGACTTTAGGGTCTAAAATTAGTGTATAAGTTTCTCATTCCTGCTTTAACAATTTATTACAAACTTTGTAGCTTAAAACAATAAAAAATGATTATCTTACTGTTCTGAGGTCAGAGGTCTGGAATAGGTTCCACTAGGCTAAAATTAAAAAAAAACAACCCTATATTCAAGTATTAATAGCATTTGTAGCATTATTCATCTCACATATAAATACCACATGTGGTATAGTGTATGAGACTATACACTTTATATAATGTAGTATAACACAGTATATTATTATGTAAAGGAGATAAAGGAGAAAATAGTCACATTTAACTTTCCCAGAAAAAGTCATTACATAGTTCTCTACTTTATGAAGTTAATATTAAAGTAAAAGATAACTCATTTCTTTTACTTCATGAATAAAGATAGCATTTTTTATATTGGGCGCAACTATGTAAGGAATTTAATCTTGATTATATATACAGAGGAAAATGTGTTATGTCATTCAGATAAAGGGGACCAGATAACTTCATAATGCCAGGTCACAGAATAGAGTATTTAGGAATTAGAGGCCAATCTAGCTATCCTGTTCTGCCCCCCCGAAATCTATACATGCAATATGCAATTAATATGGAAAGTGATTAAAGAGATAATATATATTATTTTCTTTAAATACTAAGTTTCTGAAGGCTGGTGAGGATTTATCATTTGGGACTAGCTATATTTCAAGTCATGTGGCTAGTGGTACCATAGTGGACAGTAGTTTTAGACAAAAGTAGGCACCAGAATAAGACAAGGGACTACTTCAGGGAAGAAGGGAAGGTGGCCATGAGATTGCACTGGGTTAAAAGAAATGTCAGGGTTTCTGAGGAGGTGAGAAGGAATGGAATTTTAGTCAGAGGCAGACTTCAAGTCAGAGGTAAAGCTCTTCTTTCATTAAAAGAGGAAAAAAGGAAGAATGAGTCTAGACATAGAGAGTCCAGATAATGGATTTTATTTTCCTTGGAGAGTGAAAGAGCAAATGAGGGTGATGGGAGAGGTGGCAGGGGCAGATACGGAAAGTGGGGAGTATTTGAAATAGTCTCTGTGCAACTGGAGGAGAGCGCTGACAAGGAAACTGGTGGACAGCTGTGGAAGCCTGTGTGAACGTGAGGACCATCTACGTAGCCCACAGTCATGTGATTTTCTCCAGCAGTCTTCAGTGGCCTGGTTGCAGGTGATAGAGAAGGTGTAAGATAGTCGAAAGCAATCAGGACTAAGGCTTTTCCAGGCACATGTGAAAGAAAGACCATGAGACAAAGGAGGTGAGGAATCCTTTCAGAGAGTGGTTCTTCAAGTGATGGACTTTAAAATCCTATATGAAGTGAAGACAAGAGAGATCTGATGCAGAGAAAGTAGATTTGACTGTTTCCTGGAAGTTCCATTCAGGTCTGGGGGACCCATCTTGGGACGGTTGATTAGAGGATCAGAAAAACGGGAAGTTATAGCAAGAAAGTAAAGTGATTACATTTATTGTTTACAAAGTTGAAGTTTTGGTGATGACAAATTCAGGGTGTTCGTATGGAATGGGCTCTGAAGTGAGGTGACTGAGAAGGGCATTGGAGATGGGGAGGTTAAGGAACTTGAAGGCCATGATAACGGATGGGCCACCCATGAGGACATGGAAGTCTTAGAATAATGACAGGACTTGGAGTGAAAAGGACAACTGTAGGTCAGGTGCTAAGTTACAGAGATGAAGGACGGTGACCAGGAAGTCTAGAAATGACAGCAACATGGATGGGTGGAGAATGGTATAACCATATGGCTTAAAGCTAAGAGGAATGAGATTTTCTTCTTTTTTTATTTTATTTTATTTTATTATTAGTTTCAGGGATAGAATTTAGTGAACGTAGCGATTCATCAGTTGCACGTAATACCAAGTGCTCATTACATCCAGTGCCGTCCTTAATGCCCATAACCCAATTACCCCATCCCCCACCTATCTCCCCTCCAGCAACCCTCAGTTTGTTTCCTGTAGTTGAGTCTCTTATGATTTGCCTCCCTCTCTGTTTTATACCATTTTATTTTTCCTCCTCTTCCCCTATGTTCATCTGTTTTGTTTCTTAAATTCCACAGATGAGTGACATCATATGGTATTTGTTTTTCTCTGACTGACTTAGCTTAGCATAATGCCCTCTAGTTCCATTCATGTCATTGCAAATGGCAAGATTTCGTTCTTTCTGATGGCTGAGTAATAGCAATAGGATTTTCTACGTGAGAGTGAAAACCAAGGTCTGGAAGCAGCACCTGGGAGAGAGGAGGTCACTAACCTTCAAGGTCATGTAGTATAAAAAAGCTCACTATAGATCAGGAAAATGAGGTCAGAGAATGTGATAGGCAGCCTTCAAGATGTTCCCCAGTGATTCCCATCTTCTGCTATTCATACCCTTGTGTCACCCCTCTCCCACAGGGCATCAAGTTCAGCTTATGTGAGTTGTAGGATACAGCAGAATTGATGGTAATTGTTTCTGAAGAAGTGATAATAGATATCACAGCACTTGCCTCATTACTCTCTCACTTTTGGATCACTCCCTTTGGAGGAAGTCAGCTGCCATCTCATGAGCAAGCCCGTGGAGGAGCCCACCTAGTGAGGACCTAGAGCCTTGTGCCATTGGACGTGCAAGTAAACCTAGAAGCAGAGCCTCGAGCCCCAGGTGAGTCCAATGACTGCAGCTCTAGCTGTCGCAAGCTCATGTGAATCCCTGAGCCAGAAGCAGTTAAGCCAGCCCTGAACCCACTCCCAGAACCTGGAAGATAATTTTTGTGATTTGTTAACAACAGGTCAATAATTATGAGACTTTTTGTAACTTACTCATAGTCAGAAAGCTCATGTCCAACTTAAAATGAGAACAGAGGGCTGTAGACTCTCAACCCAATATTCTGTTAAATCTTGCTATATTCTGATTTATCTTGGATTCTTTTGTACTGAACACACATGCACTACCTAAAATAGTTCAATGGATCACAGTTTTGCTTTTTCACCAGCAAAAGAAGGAAGAAAGAAAGAAAGAAAAGGGAAGAGAAGAAAAGAGAAAAGAAAAGAAAACTGGACCATGCTTCCTCACGGGATGCAGAGTAAAATTTAATAAGGTAAATATTTTCTTTGCCCCGTAATAATATATAAGCATTTCTAAAACATGCTTACATATTTTTGCCATAATTTCCAGAAGTATTGAGAGGACTAATTCAAGTGCGTACAATAGCTGGACCGTAAACCAGAAATGTAATTTCTACTTGGCTTCTTTTAATCACTTGACAAAGATCGCATAGACTCCCGGTAATAGTTGTGTCATTTAAACACTTCAGTAATTCTGACTTCCTGGACAGTGAATCAATGACAGGATGTAGTCTCTGCATTTTCGTCTGTTGTCTCTAAGTGTAATATTCAGAAAAGGGCAGGTGGCCAAAAAGGCACTTTGTGGCTTCTATTTCCATGCCAGAGAGTCTGCCATTTGGATGCACATAACTATCATGTCAGAGAAATTTTGTGGGACCCACTGACTTACAGTTTGGGACTCAGATTTTCTAAGTGTGATTAAATAATGTTTTGATTTTATTTTTCCTTCTTTAAGAATATAGCTAGAAGAGTAGAGAAAAGGGAAAAAGTAGAAAAGTAGGTTTGAGTTTCATGACAACATGGATTTTTTGGAAAAATTAATCTCAAGTGTGTTCAAGACTCTAGTTTCATTAAATCTCACAGAAATTCAGATATATTTCCAATTATTTCCCATTACAGTCAGTAAGTTACTTTGCTGTCATATATTCCCAGCATTAGGGAGATTCTTGAATGTTTTCCTATATATTTTTCTCTCTATGCTTGAAAAAAATAGATTTCTAACTATTTCCTGGTATCACTTACTCTCTCAAAGTCATAGAAAGACAGCTTTTACCCCCTTGATATTTTAGCAATTTCCTGGTTATAATCCAGCTAATCAAGTGTGACTTGACCTTGCTTGCAAAAAATACTTCATATTTTATATTAAATAGAACAGTGATAAATGTGAATTTTGTTTTTTTTTAAATTAGCATTTTTTATAATCAGCAAAAAAAAAGAAAACAAAAATGTGTGTCCTTAATGTCTTATGGTACTAATTTTTCTAGTTGTGTCCTCATTTTTCAGAAAACTCTGATGTTCCTGATCAAACCCATGCTTTGTAGATTCCTTTTATTTTTATGACCCTATACGTGATTTTTAGTAAGAATTTATTATTCAAGAGTGCCTGGATGGCTGAGTCAATTAAGCCTCTGACTCTTGATTTCAGCTTAGGTCACGATCTTAGGGTTGTGATCGAGCCACATGTCACTGGGTGTCGAGTGTGCTTGAGATTCTCTCTTGGGGCACCTGGGTGGCTCAGAGGGTTAAAGCCTCTGCCTTCGGCTCAAGTCATGATCCCAGGGTCCTGGGATCGAGCCGCGCATCGGGCTCTCTGCTCAGTGGGGAGCCTGCATCCTCCTCTCTCTCTGCCTGCTTTTCTGCCTACTTGTGTTCTCTCTCTGTTGAATAAATAAATTTAAAAAACTTAAAAAAAAAAGATTCTCTCTCTCTCCCTCTGCCCCTGCCTGCCCTCTAATATATATATATATATATTTCATTCAACAAAATTTATTAAGTACTTATGTGGCAGACACTTTTATTTGTGTTGGGGATATGGGAGTGAATACAGAGTCTCTGTTTTCATGGCGCTCGTGTTGTAGTGGGGAGAGGGTGTCAATAAGCAAATAATCAGAGTAGATATATAATATGCCAAATGATGAGTAAATGCTCTGAAGAAAAAATAAACCAGGATAAGAGGATAGAGAGTGACAGACCTGAACAAGGAAAAGGATAAAAATATGTACATGTCTGGGGCACAAGCATTCCACAGAGAAAGATGAGTGCAAAGGAAAGCAAACCATACCTAAAGGTCTAAGAATAGCCAGGAGATTCGTGGGGCCAAAGCAGAGTCAGCAGAAAGGAGATGAGATCTATGGGTAGAGCAAGGGCCATATCTTGTAGAGCCCAGAGCCAGAGGTGAAGAGGTTGGTCTTCACCTGATCCCTTCTGGCTGCTGTGTAAATAGACTGTAGGAGTGTAATTGTGGAAGCAGAAAGAGCGATGAACAAACCGTGTTAGTCTGAGCCCTCTGAGAAGCCATGTTGGCACGAGATGTGTGAGGGAATCATTAAGAGGAACAGCTGGGAGGACCCATGGAAAGGGGCCAGAAGAGATGTTAAGAGCCTTCAGATTGCAGTGTAGGTCTTACCCAGGTAAGGGACAGAACAGGGACAGGCAGGTCAGATGGGGCAGTCTGAAACTACAGTGTCATTCTATGAAAATGTGGTAAGGCCAACAGAGAGTCCTTGAGCCAAAGTCATCCACCAGCAAAACACTTGTCTCCCAGGAACGGACCCGCTCCAGTCTACCTGACCAGCCAGAAGCTGGAAGCTCTCTGTAGGACATGTGGCCTCCATGTGAACTCATGATGGATGGGCCCACCAGTCAATTATCCTTCCATACTGGGAACTCTGGCCATCACCGAGACTTTGCCATAATCCAGGTAAGAGAGATAATGGTGGTTTGGGTTAGGAAAGTCGATGAATTTTGCTTTCTATTCATCTGGTCATATTTTGAAGGTTAAGATGACCTCATTTGCCAATAGATTTGATACGGGGTGTGAGGGAGGGAGAAGAGACACAGATGGCTCCAAAGTTTTTTGTTCTAACTGAAGAATGGGGTCTCCATTTACTGAATGAGGGAGACTGAGAGTCTTAAAGGAAGGGCATCAGCAGTTCGTTTTGGCCAGGCTTAACTTGAGATGTTGATTAGACCCTAAATGAAGAGGTTGAGAAGGTAGCTGAATACATGAATCTAGAGTTCAAAGTAGTGTCCCAACCTGGATATACAAATTTGAAAATCATCAACATATGGACTGGATTAGTTTTGCCTAAGGAGGGTGTATAGATGGAGAGAAGAGGTTCAAGTCCCAACAGGGAAAAGGGGGAAATCCCACACAAGGACTGAAAGACTGGCCAGGTAGAGACATAAGGAGACCCACAGAGAAGTTGTGTCCTAGAGGCCGAGTGAAAAAAGTTTTCTGGAAGGATACGTTTTCAGTGTTCTAATTCTTTAATCTTGATACCTCCTAACTGAAAGTTCTATGAAGTATTGATATCTTGCTAAGTGGACCTACTAAATAATGAAGAAAAAATGAAGCTTATAAAGAATATTGACTTTGTGGGGCACCTGGGTGGCTCAGTGGGTTAAAGCCTCTGTCTTTGGCTCAGGTCATGATCCCAGTGTCCTGGGATCGAGCCCCGCATTATGCCCCGCATCAGGCTCTCTGCTCAGCAGGGAGCCTGCTTCCTCCTCTCTCTCTGCCTGCCTCTCTGCCTACTTGTGATCTCTGTCAAATAAATAAACAAAATCTTAAAAAGAAAATAAAAACAAGGTGTAAGAATATTGACTTTGTGACCAGTTCAAGACCTGTCACCACCATCCATTGAGTGTTGGTCCTTAACCTCTGTTTGCTTGATTCCTCATTTCTACAAGGAGGAGTATAAAGTTGGTAAGAGAATGGAGTGAGTTAGTAATTGGAACAGTGCCCAAGACATGATAAGTGTTCAATAAGTATTACATACTATTACATAATGAATATTGCAATTAAAGATCAATTTTACTATCTTTAAAGTTTTCTGATGGTAGCAGCTAAGATGTAAGGGTTTAATGTAGATCCTTGCAGATTTCTCTGACTGGGATCCTGATGTATTTGTTTATTCCTTATATTTTTCTTTTTATATTTCTTTTCTATGTTTTAAAATAAACATTGTTTTAAAAATTTGCCCCAACCCTTTTGTTTAAAGTTTTTTTTTAACCAGACGTTTCTTTAAGTAAAACATGGCTAGCTATAGAGATAACATCGAAATAAAGAGAAATAATTTCATAGAACAGTGGTTCTTAAGTCTTTTGGGGTTATTGATCCCTTTGAGAATTGGATGAACGCTCTCCCCTAAAAAATGCACATGTAAACACACACACACACACACACATACACAGACACACGCACAATTTTGATTATAATTAGAGGGAGTTTGTGGATCCCGAAAACCAACCAATAAACCCACCAGGCGGCCGTGAAAATAAGCCTTGAATTGACTGCAAAGTGTTCATTCTTCCTTTTTAAAAGATTTTATTTTTTTAAGTAGTTTCTACACCCAGCAAGGGGCTCGAACTCATGACCTTGAGATCAAGAGTCGCACACTTCATTGCCTGAACCAGCCAGGTGCACCTGCAAAGTCCACATTCTTATCAGCTTAATTTTCTTCTTGATTGTTTCGTAGGTCCATTTAACAAGATCTTCAAAACATCATGAATCTTAAATTATTCATATCCTTCTAGTTTAAGCAAAAAGAATTTCCTTTAGAGAAATTTCAGTTCTAAATATGTTCAGTTGAGGGCGAAAATGTATACAGAGCAGGTGACCTGAGCACTCAGAGCCCTGCTCTTACAAGGGTCCCTTGCCTGGGGTTAATATTATGCTATTACCATATTGAAATTCTTAGCAATTTTTGAACAAGAGGCTCCACATTTTTATGTCACCCAGGACCCTGCAAGTTACATAGCCAGATACACACAAACATACAATTTAAGTTCAACAGGACTTTTGTTTCATTAGCATTTAAATAAGAACACAAAAATTCTCAGGAGATAAAGCATTTTCCAGTGTGCCTTTCCAAGGTAATGTTTTTATGTAAGTTACATGTTCTCATTGGTCTTTGTTTTGAAGTAATGTATTATTTAATTATAATTTGCTGTGATAATTTGACATTCACTTAGTAGTCCTGAGGCAAGGTGTGATTACATAATAAAATTATCATAAGCAATATTAAAAGACAGCAAACCAGGGAACTGTATATTCTAGGCCAAGCAAAGTACCTAAACAAAGGAAAGATTTTAATGTTGATGGGAAGCTGGTACTAAAGAGAGAGGAACTGAATGGGAGCAGAGACATGAAGGTTCTTACACACTGTGTTAAGATGCTTCTACCTTCCCCTGAGGCCAATGAAAGGTTTTACTCAGCAGAGTGTGGTCAACATTATTATCTTTATTTTTAAAGGTTGCCAGATTTAGCAAATAAAACTGTATATGCCCAGTTAAATTTGAATTTCAGATAAACAATGAAAAATGTTCAGTATCAATATGTCACAGGGAATATTTGGGACATACAACCACAAAAGTATTGATAATTAACTGAAAGCAACCTTAAGTGAGAGTTCTGTATTTATCTGGCAACCCTATCATTTTTCTTAATCCCGTGCTTGAGACATGGTAGGTGGTGTTTTAACGCCGCTCTGCTTTCCTTGTGCCCTGTAGGTGGCAGTCTGATCAAATAATTTCATGGGAGCCACTTGGCAAATTCCAGTGTAATGCTGTATTATCTACCCATCTATTAATAAGGCTATTTTTTAAGTAAAAAAAAAAAAGGACTATTTTTCATATAAAGTAAGTTTTCATCAAAGAAAGATGAATTTTGAATGTGCTCAAAACTAAATATAAGTCCGTCCTCAGCTTTCCCACAACTCACCAAATGGATTTAAATGCCCATGTGGTTCAATCCTAATGGGCTACAGTGATTTTTATACTTCTAATGATATTTTGAGAATTTGGAAGATTTTCACGGTACTGTAAATAGGATCTTTTCCCCTTATATTTTCTAACCCACTACTTCTGATGTGTAAGATAGCTATTGATTTCTGCATGTTTATTTTTGTGTGAAATCATACTCTATAGTACAAGTAGTATTACTATAAATACTCTTGCAAGTAATATACTTTTCTCTCTTTTTTAGAAAATATCAATTTCTTTTTTCTACTTTAAAAAAATGAAATGTAATTCTATTAAATGTAGCACTAAAGAGAAAGAGAAGTGATTACATGCATGCTCTTAAAAAACTATTTCTAGGGGTACTTGAGTGGCTCAGTTGTATCCGACTCTTGGTTTAGGCTCAGGTCGTATCTCAGGGAGGTGGGATGGAGCCCCACTTCTGGCTCCCGACATGTGGAGTCTGCTGATGTCTCTCTCTGCCTCTGTTCCCCCTCTCCTCCATGTGCTCATGTGCGTTCTCTCTCTCTCTCTCTCTCAAATAAATAAATTTTTAAAAAACTATTTCTATTAGTATGAAATTTTATATTCACTTAAAATTATTATTATTGTAGTTTAGAACTATAATCTAAAAGTACAACATAATCTTATAGTTTGTATTTGCCCATGAATGATATGACCTACAATTATAAAATGGCAGCACAATGGTCCTATTGTGTCTACATCCATGCCCCAAGCCCTACCTGTCCTAAGAATGCTTACTCTGATCACAGAGATCTGTCTTCTTGCAAAGCCAAAGGAAAAAGCATCTTCATGAAATCCACATTCCCAAGTAACTTATACCATTATTACATACTGTATTCTAGAGAAAAATAATTATAATTTATTTTGGATTTCAATGCAAGAGTGTTCCATTTTTTTCGTCAGAAAGCTACATCACTTTCTTGTTCCTACCATTATTCGTTATCTTTTGAGCTGTGTCAGCGGACTTAGCACTACTCAAAACACGGGACATGGACCGTTCCCATATCTATTGTTGTGAAACCATTTCAGAATTAGAATCTATAGAATCATGAGTTTTGAAGGTCGCACTTTTTGATATTTTAGTTCACAGACATTTCAACATATGTTGGTTTATAAGCTATAAAGTGGCATTAAAGCGTAAATATTTATCAGAGAAGTAAGCTTTGCACTAGGTGGCACTGTTCGGTCATGGGTTATTTACACTGAATTTGACTAGCCAATGGTTTCCATACACTTTGCTGTATCTCAGTAGTTACTCCGCAAATATAAAATCCATTATAGTTTTGTAAGTATTTTTATGATTGTAAGAGTAATTTATTCTGTTTATGAAAAGATTGGAAAAATATAGGAAAGTATTTTAAAAATCATCTATAATCCCGTATTTAGAGAGTTTACACAATTTTTTTTCTCTAAAGTCCAGGTAGCTCTAAATAAGGCATAAGCTTTGGAGACAAACAAAGCCAGGTTAAAATCCCATCCCTTCCATTTATACTTACTTGATGCATTTTCAGGACAAAAATCTTAATCTCATTGAGTTTAATTTTTTTTTTAACTTGACTCCTCTTCTTCCTTTAGCTGCCATTCATTTCTTTTTCTTTTTTTTTTTAAAGATTTTATTTATTTATTTGACACAGAGAGAGAGAGATCACAAGTAGGCAGAGAGGCAGGCAGAGAGAGAGGGGGAAGCAGACTCCCCACTGAGCAGAGGTCCTGGGCTTGATCCCAGGACCCTCAGATCATGACCTGAGCCGAAGGCAGAGGCTTAACCCTCTGAGCCACCCTGGTGTCCCTGCCATTCGTTTCTTTACCAAAGTCATGCACTGTCTTTATTTCTTACCTTCATTGCATTCCTCTACCCACTTCAAACTCACTCTGCCCTAGAGTCTGAAAACAACTCTTATTAAGGTCACTAATGACCTTCATTTTGTCAAATTCAGTGCACATTTTCCTGTGTTCATCTCGTGCTCCCTCTCAGCAGCACTGTTGTCCTGAAGTCCAATAGTAATGGTACCTGACAGCTAATTATGTGTGGCTTTTTCCAATATCCAAGTTCTGTGAAGACATGTTGGTACCTTGAAATTCACCATGATGAGAATGTTTACAGAAATCAGCAAATGCTGCAGATGAGAGCCGTTCCCCACCATGGCCATTTGTTAAACATTTACCCTCACACTGCCTGAAAATATGTCACCATTTTTCCCTTCACAGAATTCTCTTCTCTCCTGTTTACTCAATGCCACTATTCCTCATTTTCCTCCCCGCTCAGTTTTTCTATCTTCTCCTATGATGGCTTTTCCTCTATCCCATGGCTACATGTTAGCTTTCCTCAGGAGTCAGTCCTGGACCCTCTCTTCTCCCTTTCATACACTACCTTCAAAACATAATCTCACCAATTTCCATGTATTTAAATACTACCATTATGCTGATCGATTTCAGATTCGTGTCTGCAACCCAGTCCTCCAGTCAAAGGTCTGAACCCAAACATCAAGCTATCTATTTAAACTTGTCCTGAATGTCTCACAGACATCTCAAACTCCTGGCCAAAGTGAAGTTCCAGATTGAATTCCACAAACCTTTCCTTTGCTTGTTTTCTCCATCCCAACAACCTCCATTTCAGTAAATGGAGCCGCAATCTTCTTGAGGACTCAGGCATTATCCACGGTACTTCCCCATCCATCCTTGTGTCAAATCCAGCAGCAAATCCTGTCAATTCTGCTTGTAAAATATCTTTTGGCTCTTGTTTTTATCCCTCACTTCTACTGCCATCACATCTGGGGCTGCTATCATCTCAGCTAGAAGCCTGTAATGGCCTCCAACTGATCTCCGAACTTCAGTTCTCCACCCCTCCCCCAGGACCATCTTCAGATAGCAGCAATAAGTCATGAACTGTAAATCTGATTACCGTTTCCCTGCTTAAAATCTTTTTTTAAAAAATAAACATATAATGTGTTATTAGCCCCGGGGTACAGGTCTGTGAATCGCCAGGTTTACACACTTCACAGCACTCACCATAGCACATACCCTCCCCAATGTCCATAACCCCACCACCCTCTCCCGACCCCCCTCCCCCTGGTCACCCTCAGTTTGTTTTGTGACAGTAAGAGTCTCTTATTGTTTATCTCCCTCCCGATCCCATCTTATTTCATTTATTCTTTTCCTGTCCCCCAAACCCCCCACGCTGCATCTCCACTTCCTCATATCAGGGAGAGCATATGATAGTTGTCTTTCTCTGATTGATTTATTTTGCTACCCGGCTTAACATCTTTAAGTGGTCTTTCATTACATTTGGTTTAAAAATCAAATTTCAGGTTTTTTAACTGGTCCCTGCTTACCTGTCCATCTTGAAGTGTGATCATTCAAGTTCACTCTGGTCTGCTCAAGCTCACAGTGGTTGGTGTCCTAGTCCTTGAACTGGCCAATCCCCCCTCCCTCCCCCGCCACACACCCCCCCCAATACAGAACTTTTGTATACGCACCCTTGTCTAAAATAATCTTTTCCTTGTTCTCTCTGTGATTAACTCCTACTATTTCTTTAATGCTAAATCAATTTAAATCTACCTATTGATTGTTCTGATCTTTATCTCAGCCCCCTATTTATATCTTGGTTGAATGAATGAAGGAATCAACTTATATAAATAAGGATTTACTTTATAGAAATAGTGAAAGGAGGGTTAAAAAGTTCTTAGCCTAAGGCCTCATGCACAGTGGAGTTTAAATAAGTGGCAACTTTCTTGGAGGGAGGGAGACAACTATTTTAAAATTTCATTTCATTTCATTTTTAGCATTCCAGAGTGCAGAATAAAGATCCATGTCTATCCTGAAGGTGACAGTATGGAGACTCAGGAAACTCTCACTTGCTCCTTTCACAGATTGGGTACCCTAACTTAAGCAGAGCATCCCTGGTATTTATGCCCTGAATTACTCACATGTACTTATGAGACAGAGAGCTAGGATTGCTGAGAGGAATTGAAATATTTATGGCAACCCAAGTAGTACAAGAGGGAAATGGCACCAATGAAAGTATTAAGCCATAAATACCTTTTGTTTTTCCTTGATCAAACACATATGGAAAGAGCATATTTGGATTTTGGCAATGTGATAAGTTAGACTGTGATAATAATATGCTCTAGTTTTATGATTACAAATTTAGTCAGTTAGCTTGCTCTCAGAGAGTGCTGCAACTTTAATCTTATATTAAAAGTACAGCTTGTTTATCCTTACAGTGTGCAGCAAGAGTGTAAGGATAGAGCTGCATTAAATTTTTTTTAAGTGCCTTAGAGAGTATTATCAACTTATTCTGCTAGGAGTAAATTCAAGTAAGATAAAATTTAAAATAACATTATAAATAATGTTTAAAATAACATTGTAAATAACATGTAAAATAATACAGTACTTGCATCCAATTTTAAAGCCATTTAAAAAAAGAAATACATTTAAATACTTGTTGGTTTTGTCTCATGAGAAGTGATTCTGATGCCACTAACAATCACTAGCCACTACCTCTGTGACTTTTCTGGAGTTGTGAGGGATATGTGCACGGGGGAACCTCCAGGCAGCTGCATACTGCTTTTAGCTAAATCCTCGGTCCTCATGGTCTCTGGTGTCTTGCTCTCATCTTCCTTAGGGGACTAGAGCAGAATTTTCCAGATCTGTTCACTCCATTCTCTCTTAACCCTGAACTGTCTGCTGTCCAGTGTGGCCTTTCAAGGGTAAAGGGACGTGCCCTTGGGTTGGTTTTACCATACTGGTCAGAAAATATAGAAAAAAGAAACTCAAGAGGAGAAAGAAAGCTCTTTGACCCACTTTATTTTTCCCCCCACGGAAAATTCACTTCCTTCTGGCCTGCCTATTCCTTTTTCAGGAAATCCATTGTGTGTTCTCAAGGACTCTGTTTGTACAACAACCTACATCAAAACCCTTTCTTCCTGAAGATGAAGTGGTTAAGAGGGAAGGCTTGGGCTTTCCTTCATGTGTCAGAGAGTGACGGTGTTTATAAACAGAATTGATTTCTTGGAAACACAGCAGCCTCAAGCCCTTTTATCTGTGAATGACAAAGTAAAATTTACAGTCTCACTGGAAAACCTCTGTTGCCATTTTTAAAAAAATGTTGACACAATCTTCCTCCCCAGCAATTTTATTTCTTAGTGTTTTTTCTAGACATATTTGCAAACAATTGTAAAGAGACACATTCTAGGATATTCAGTTGCAACATTATATGTAACGAGTGATATCAGAAACAAAGGAAAATGGTTAACTAAACTATAATACTATGGAATGTATCCATACTATGCAGCATTTCATAAAAATGAAATAGATCTACAAGTACTGATATGGAAACCTGCAGCGATCTATAGGAAACTATTTCCCTGTGTTTATGTACATGTATACACAATATATATCTGTATGTAAGCAAAGAAAAATGGGTCTAGAAGGATACCCACCAAACAAACAGCAGTGAGTACCTCTGCAAAGAAATCTGGATTTGGGTGGAAGTTAGATTAAAGTGGACTTTTTGCTTTGTTTTTTAATTCTTCACAATATGAAAGTACTAATGTACTGTTTAGATAATGAACATTTAAGAGAAAGAGACAAGAGAGAAAGGAAGGCAAGAAAATTAATTTAATTTTACGGCCCCTGGAACCAGAGAACCTATATTTAGGTTGTAGCCTGCTACTTATTTAACCTCTCTGTGCTTCAGATTTTTTTCTCTGTAAAATGGGCCTAAAAAGAGCACCTATCTCAGAAAGTGATTGTAAAGATGAAATAAGATGATGTGTGTAAAATGCTTAGCACCTAGTATGAGTTATGTAAGTGTTAGCTAGGATTATTGATTATGTAAAGAATAAATCATTAGTTATCCCACTTTAGTCAGAGGGAAATTATTTCTTTCTTCATATTTTGGCACCGATGAGACCTCAGGAAATGTACCTGAAAAAAAATCAATGTCAAACAGCCTTGGAGATAAGGCTTTTAATAGCTTTGCTGTTATCTAGTCATCTGGATCAAAATGCATTATGGCACACTGGGAGAGAGTACAGTTCCATCAACATTAACGCCAACCCGTTGCACTGGGTTTTTGAGACAAAAAGACCAAAAAGGCAAATTTTCTTAAGGATCCCATTCTGTGTGATGGGGGTGTGGTGGAGGGAAGAATCAATCAGTAAACAGATCATTTCAACACAACATAGCTCTGTGATAGGAATACAGAACAATGAATAGAGTTACAGGAGAAAGGAATGGCTAGAAAGACAGGAAGCTTCTAGCAAGAGGTGATGATTCTAGAAGGATGAGGAAGAGTTACCTATGAAAATAAGGAAGAAATTGGGGATTCCAGGCAAAGTAAACATCATGATTTATCTGAGGGAACTACAGTAGTTCGGTATCATTGTAATATGTATATGTTTTTATATATGTGTATGTGTGTTTGGGTGGCTAATGGAATGGGGAAGAATCATTGGGAGAAGTAAAGATTAACAAGTTTGGAAATATAGTAACAAATGAAGGTGGTCTTAATTCTGTAGTATTGCAGTGGAAAGATTACTGAAAACAACCTGCCTATTCAGACAGGTTAGGGGCTTCTATGTAAGAGGTCTCAACTTTGACAAATAACTTTTGAAGAAATATTACAGGTTGATGTCTGACTTCTGCTTCTAGGGAAAATATAATAAGGCATCGAAAGCCGGTGTTCTTCCTACAACAGCTAGGGAAAAAAGAGGTAAGTTACAAAATTCATAGTTTAAAGACATCAAAGAGCAATGGACCCAGTAAGACTATAAAAACTAAAATTCCAGGGACGCCTGGGTGGCTCAGTGGGTTAAAGCCTCTGCTTTCGGCTCAGGTCATGATCCCAGGGTGTTGGGATCGAGCCCCGCATCGGGCTCTCTGCTCCGTGGGGAGCCTGCTTCCCTTCCTCTCTCTCTGCCTGCCTCTCTGCCTACTTGTGATCTCTGTCTGTCAAATAAATAAATAAATAAATATCTTTAAAAAAAAAAAAAAAGAACTAAAATTCCAGAGAGGGAAGATCCCTTCCTAAATGAGCTGATAATCTCTGGCCATTTTATCCCCTGGAGATATTTGTCAGTTCTAGGTGAGGACTAAGAATCAGGCATGGCCTAGGAAGAGGAACCTCTCCATGGAAAAGAGAAACTAGTGAAGCTTTTTTTAGTGATTGTGTGGTGCTGGCTTGACAGATTGTAAATTAGTTTAGAACTGAATGCAAAGGAGCATTTGTTGATTCCTGGTTGCTAGAGGACTTGGCTAGGAGCTTCTAAAAGGCAGAACGAAATATCCTAGCTTCACAGAATGTGGGAGACAAAGTCCTCCCAGAAGGAGAGATCCTGGCACAAATATATAGTCAGTTATCCCCTTGAAACATTTGCTAAATTTTGAAGGTACATGGGGTCAGAAGGCAAAAAGCTAAACACAAAACCTCTAAATGACAGAACTGACTCTGAAGAACTAAAGAGATAGAGACCCAGGAGGCTCTCAATCAAAAGGCAGGAGGGTCACACCTGAGGAATAGGGACAAAGATATCCCTATTTTGGTTGAGGTCCTCTGCCTATTTAATGAAAGATGACACCATCTGCAGCCTCTGGATTCCTGTATACAAAGTCTGGCATAAAATAAAAATTAAAAATGTATGAAAACATAGGAAAATACAGCCAATAATCAAGAGAAAAAATAGACAATACAAGCAAAGTCACAGATGATGATGTATTACAGTTAACTGACAAGGACTTTAAATATGATTAACAAGTTAACAAAAATATGGAAAAATGAGTAAAAATACAGAGAAGTCCAACCGAAAATTAGAATCTATGAAAAGGATTCAAATGCATATTCTAGAAATGAAAAATGTGTGTGAATTTAAATACGCTTCAGATGAGTTTGACAAGACAAAGCAAAGTGGAGTTAGTGAATTTGAGAACAGGTCAACAGAAATCATCCAAACTGAAATCTATAAAGGAAAAGTTATGAAAGAAAAAGAACAGGGCATTGAGACGAGTGGAACACAGTGGTCTAAAAACAGTCTAGCTTACATATGAGAGAGAGAGAGAAAGAAAGACAGAGAACAGAAATAGAGCAGAAGAAATTTGTAAAAAAAAAAAAAACTAACCCAAAGATTTATAAAAAAAAGACTACTGAACCCCAAATAGGGTAAAGGAAAAGAAAATCACACATAGGTATGTCATAGCCAACCTGGTGATAACTGAAAAAGGTAAAAACAAATCTTAAAAGTAGGAAAAAGACATCTCCTTCAAAGAAACAACAGTAAGACTAATTGCAGTCTTCGGGGCACCTGGGTGGCTCAGTGGGTTAAAGCCTCTGCCTTCGGCTCAAGTCATGATCCCAGGGTCCTGGGATCAAGCCCTGCATCGGGCTCTCTGCTCGGCGAGGAGCCTGCTTCCCTCTCTCTCTCTCCCCCCCCCTCTCTTTTCTTTTGTCCCCCCTGTCTAAAAAAAAATAAAAAAAAAAAAAAAAGACTAATTGCAGTCTTCTCAAAAGAAATCATGGGAAAAGATGGTGGAATGGCATCTTTATATTGGTGAAAGAAAAAAAATGTTATGTAAGGTGTCACTAATGATCTTTCTTGCACCAAATATGAATTTGTTGTCCACCATCTCATACTTATGACTATCTATAGGCCCTCTGAAACTCTCTTCAGCACTCTGAGTTACTTGGGTTCACACCCTCCGAATATTACATAATTTGGGACTTTGCAAATGTGTGACATAAAGATCAACCCTATCAGCTATATCAGGTTGTGTACTGGAGCTCTATACTCCTTTCAGGTGATGTCCACCTTTGTACTCTATGGGCTGGACTCTGTAATCAAATCATAGAATCACTGTGATCTTCTCATCAGGAGTTGACATTGCTTTAACCCTATTAGCAAGAGCTTTCTGCCTGTAGATCAGGAATATTACTTGTATTAGAAGCTTTTATTCTAATTTTCTAAACAAGTAATGTTGATTTTCAGTGATTAGGAACATTTGTGTGAGAGAAAGAGAGAGAATATGCATGTGAACAGAGGGGTGGAGGGACAGAGGGAGAGGGAGAGAGAGAATCCCAAGCAGGCACCACACGCAGAACTGAGCCAGATGAGGGGCTGGATCTCATGACCCCGAGATCACAAGGAACCTAAATGAAGAGCTGGGTGCTGAACCGATTGAGCCACCCAGGTGCTGGATACCAGGAACATTTTCTATTAAAAACATCTGATTTGGAGTTTAGTCACACGCTCTAGACCAGGATTTTTTTTTTTCCCAAGTTACTTACGAATTTCCTGTGCTTGGGGTGTGAAGAGAGATGGAAGAGTTAAGTCAGTTCAGTGTGATAAGCAGCAATGCCATCCTTGGGCTGTTGATCCCTTTGGTGTGATTTAACGCATCCAAATGATGACTGAGAGGGTTTGTCAAATGTGTGTCTTCAGCGCTCCTATAGATTTGTCCTAAGTGAAGCAGAAGAGCGAGAACTTCTGGTGGCTAATGTGCCCTTGCTGGCCTATCTATAGTTTGGAATGAGCATCCAGTTATATATTGTTTGGGTGCCCTGCCCCTCTTCTGAAACTAAGGAGATCCTAGCCGGCAGCAGAGGCCTAATCCCTGATGGTTAGAATTAGCCAATTGCCACTCCCCACCCCTCAAATGTCCCGTTCAGCATCCACATCCCTTCTTTTATTTTTTTTTAAGATTTTATTTATTTATTTGACAGAGAAAGATCACAAGTAGACAGAGAGGCAGGCAGAGAGAGAGAGAGAGAGGGAAGCAGGCTCCCTGCTGAGCAGAGAGCCCGATGCGGGACTCGATCCCAGGACCCTGAGATCATGACCTGAGCCGAAGACAGAGGCTTAACCCACTGAGCCACCCAGGCGCCCCATCCACATCCCTTCTTAGGCTGCGTGCATACCTTGCTTCTTGTTGTGGCCATTTTTTTTTTTTTCCCCTTTAAGGGCCATAGTCCCTGGAGTGGGTGCCTTTGGACAGCTTGTAGTTTTTTGCCTGACTCCTGCTAGAGAATACAATTTTTTCTTACCTCTGCCTTCATTCCCTTGTATTGATTTCTTTTAATGACAGAACT